CTCTCTTCCCTCCTCTTCCTTCTTTTTAGAGACAGGGTTTCTCTGTGTAACAGCCCTGGCTGTCCTAGAATTCACTCTGTAGATCAGGCTGGCCTCAAACTCTATCACTTTTTAGTGTTATTTTTGTTAAACCTGAATGTTTGCATTAATGTCCGTTAAAAAAAAAAGTATTTCTATTGTCTTCTCCCCATCACTATTTTTCTTTTGTTTTACTCTTTTTTCTTTATTTCTTTCCCTCTTCTTTGTCTTTTTCCTTTCCTTTTTTCTTTCTTCCTTCCTTCCTTCCTTTCTCTCTCTCTCTCTCTCTCTCTCTCTCTCTCTCTCTCTCTCTTTCTATTTTTTGAGACAGGGTTTCTCTGTATAGTTTTGGTGCCTGTCCTTGATCTTGCTCTGTAGACCAGGCTGGCCTCGAACTCACAGAGATCCACCTGATCCACCTGGCTCTGCCTCCTGAGGGCTGGGATTAAAGGTGTGCACTTCCAACACCCGGCTTTCTTTTGTTGTTGTTTTTGAGACAGGATCTCACTGTGTAGCCCCGGCTGGCCTGGAACTGCTAAGTAGCCCAGGCTGCCCTTGAACTCCTGATTTTCCCGGCCTCAGCCTCCAGAATGCTGAGGTTAGAAGTGTGAACTCCCACACCTGGCTCCCCGAGCACACGATGACGCTGCTCTTTTTCCTTCCACTGTGCTCCGACCGTACCTGTTAGGTTGCTCTCTTCTCTTTCCTGCTGTAACGGCATTTTGATTTTTATGGCATCTTTTTATGGGAACAAACTCCCTTGCTTTTATAAATAAAGCCCAGGCATTCCTGTGACTCTGCTTACATCTTGCCCTGGTATGCCTTGCTGTCATTCTGTCCCTGCCCTTACTACCTCCTTGACCTAATTTCATAGGCAACTTATTACCTACTCACTACCCATGACTCTAAGATGGGACAGCCTGAGGGAGCAGGCCTTCTGGCCCTCACATGCTGTTCCCTCGCCTCAAGTGTTCTCTCGCTCCCTCCTTGGCTGTGCCAATTCATCTTCTTGCCTCAAGTATAACACGAGAGACCTCAGTGGCCCAGATCAAATGCCTCTGGAGCCTGCAAGTTTATTCCCTGCATCAAAGCATCAGTTCTGTTCTATTCTGCTTCATACTGAGACAAATAACATTGTTCCGTCTTCATTCAAATTATACTGACATCTGTTTTGATGGGTCAGTGCTTACGAGGTGCACCCAGAGAAAGGTTTTGAATATCACCCTTGCATAGAATCTGGTTTTTCTTTAAAGCAATGGTCAATATCAATTTGCATATATCTATACACACACAGAGTGAAGGAGAGGGAACTCGCCTTTTCTTCTCTATAGCATATTTAAAATTACAGTTATTTATTGTATGAATAAGCATGTACCATGGCATTTGTGTGAAGGTCAGAGGTTTTTTCAGGCATTGGTTCTTTCCATCTTATCACATGGGTTCTGGGAATTGAACTCAGGCCATCATGTTCAGTAGCAAGTTCCTTAACCTACTGAGCCATCTCATCAGCCCCCAGAGATATATTTTGTTCATTTCTGTATATGCAACACCTAATAAAGTAATTAACACATAGCTAGTGGACAGAGGCTATTTACTGAACAAAATGAGTACATCTATTATGGCACTTCCTGCTGAAGCTGGGCTGTGATATGACGATGAGGCTGGGTTTGCCAGGATTGATAACAGTCGTGGGCAAAGTGCATAGGTGGTGTGGTCGGTAGGAGGGGACTGTTTGCTCCTTGGTTCTGTTCCTTTACTCAGCTCAGCTGCTGGAAGTAATAAGCAAGCATGCACCGAAAAAGGATTTGTTCCCTCATCCATGCTGTTTTACTCATCTCTCAGTTCTGTACTGATCCTGATGACTTTCTTTCTAACAAGAGTACCCAAAGTAGCTTTCACCACGGAATCTGAGTTTGGGAAACTTGATAAGCCCAATTTTTATGACTTGTGGTCTGTAGGTCTTTCCTTCTACTCTGTTTTCCTCTTCTCACTTCATATTTGGGGCCTCTAAACCTCCCTCTTCGTCTCTTTGCTTTGGAGCCTTCGGGCCTAAATTATCTTCATTGATTCTCTAATTTTTCAATTCTGTACTGGGCTTGGTTACCTGTGTTTGTTTTGGTCCTTGGGATGGAGCCTAGGGTCTTGAGCACGCAGGACAAGCCCTCCACCTCTGAGCCGTAGCAGCAGCCCTTCTTCTGTTCTGTAAACAGTTATTATTATCGGTGTATTGTGATATACATGGGGTTGTGGGTGCTGGTGTGCCATAGTGTGTGTGGATGTCACAGAACAACATTATGGAGTTATCCGCTTCATCTACCTTTACATAGGTTCTGGAGACAGAAATCAGATAGTCAGGCTTATGTGACAAGAGCTGAGCCATCTTGCCAGCCCCCTTTTTCTGTGAAAACTGCTTTGCATTTATTTATTTATTTGCAGTGGGAGCATATGTACCACAGCACCAAGTGTAGAGGTCAAAGGACAACTTTCAGGAGTCAATTCTCTCCTTCCATGTGGGTTCCAGAGTTAGGACTTAGGTCATAAGGCTTGGCTTTCCTAACAAGTCCTTTGTACTCATCCTACAACACTAAGGACTAGGTCATATTTTATATATATATATAATTATGGAGGCTGGAAGAATGGGTCAGCTGTTTAGAGCACTTGTTGCTCTTGCAGAGGACCCAGACTGGGTTCCCAGAATCCACGTGGTGACTCACAGCCAACTGTAACTTCAGTTCCAGGGGACCCAGTGCCCTTTTCTGACCTCTAAGGGCACCAGGAACACACACAGATGTGCAGGCAGAACACTCATACACACAAGAAATAAAACAAATATAAAAAGTAAATAACTGAACTATGGAGGAAGCAAGTATCCTAAATAAAATCTAAAAGAGTCAGGGTTTTCCTTTTATTTTGTCTATTCCTTGTCCTTTTTCTAGGTTTCCTGAGACAGTCTCATGTGGCCCAGACTGGCCTCAACCCTATATTGTAGTTGAGCCTAACTTTGAACTTCTGATCCTTCTGCCTCTGCTTCTGAGTGCTGGGGTTACAGGTTGATATTAACACAATTTTTCACGAACATTTTAAATTATTATTAATTCTGCACTTAATCTTAGTCCAAAGGCTGAGCAGTGGTTTCATGAGTTTTACTGGGGCTAGGGAGATGACTTAGGTGGTAAGAGCATTTCAGAGGAACAGAGTTCAGTTCCAGAACTCACGTCAGACAGGCAGCTCACACCAGCCTGTAACTCCTGCTCCCTCTTCTAGCCTCTGTAAACATCCATAGGCACACACCAGCACATTCCCAGTTAAATCTCAAAGAGTTTTATTTTATTTTAAAACTTTACATTGATTTAAGCTAGTGTATAAATTAATGGATTGTGGTGACGTCATCCCCCTTCCCCCTAAGCCCTGGCTGTCTTGGAACTCTATTTTTAGATCAAGCTGGCCTTGAATTCAGAGATCCATCTGCCTCTGCCTTCAGAGTGCTAGGATTAAGTGTCTGCACCACCATACCTGGCTAGATCAATGGGTTTAATCATGCAGTCTTCACACATCTTAAGTAATTTTATTTTCTTTCTTTCTTTTTTTCAGAGACAGGGTTTCTCTGTGTAGCTTTGGCACCTTTCCTGGAACTCACTCTATAGACCAGGTTGGCCT